CAATGTAACATCACCAAATTAGAAGTCTCCAGATCATGTTCTCTCATGTCCAGAGAATGGTTAAATGTCACCCTCTGCAATATGGTAAGGCTCCTTCAAAAGACTAATTCACCTCTTAGGTGTGTGCTTTACATGTTTTCCAGTTGGCTGAACAGTGCAGGAGCTTGCACTGGATGTAAGTTCGGCCCTTGGAAAGTTGCATCTAGCCAATTAGTAAATGCCTTGTTGATTTCTTATTTGGTTTTAGTGAAAATTTAAGAAAGGGTGGAAAATGTGAGGCACAGATAATTTTTTTATAATTTGTTCAGCAGACTCTAGTCATTCCCAGCCTGGGTGATGCTATAGATATAAGGACATAACTGATGGCACTCACTTAACAACTTCTAGCGTAATACTTGTCTGCAACTAGCACTATCCACATTTGTCTAAGACAACTTTAAGTATTGACAAAATAATGATTTCTATCCTCTGTAGAAAACCAAGAAATGAGCTCATGATGGGTTGCCAAAGTCTGTGTGGGAATACAGAGGAGTGCAGAGCATGAAGCAGTGGGAGGGAAGTGGGGGATAGGGAGATGCAAGATTCACTGCAGCTACTAGCAAGTAGAATCGCAACCCTGGACTTTAGCAGGGCAAACTTTGGCCTCTTCAAGCGATTGCTAGGGGAAATCCAGTGGGCTAGGCTGCTTGAAGGGAAAGGGGCCCAAGATAGTTGGTTGACGTTCAAGGACTGCTTTTTCCGAGCTCAAGATCGGAGCATCCCGACACGTAGGAAGTCGAGGAAGAGGGTCAGGAGACCTGCGTGGTTAAATAGGGAATTGCTCGGTATGCTCAAGTGGAAGAGGAGAGTTTACAGGTCATGGAAGGAAGGGCTGGCCACTTGGGAAGAATATAAGGCTGCTGCTAGAGGATGTAGGAAAGCTGCTAGGATGGCTAAGGCCTCCTTGGAATTAAAGCTGGCGAGAGGGGTCAATGACAGCAGAAAGAGCTTTTTCAAATACATGGCAGGTAAAACTAACACCAGAGGCAATGTAGGCCCGCTGATGAACGGGACGGGTGCCCTGGTGACAGAAGATACAGAGATGGCAGAGTTACTGAATGACTTCTTTGTCTCTGTCTACTCTGCTGGAGGCAGTCCTGAAGAGCCCTGTACCGCTGAGACCCCGGATGAAGATAGGTCAACGGAGCGGTCTGCCTTAGTCGATGAGGAATGGGTTAAAGACCAGTTGAGCAATCTGGATATCCATAAATCCATGGGTCCAGATGGGATGCACCCGCGGGTGCTGAGGGAACTGGCTGAGGTCATTGCTAGACCGCTCTCCATCATCTTTACCAAGTCTTGGGAAACGGGAGAGGTGCCTGAGGACTGGAGGAAAGCAAATGTCACTCCTGTCTTCAAAAAGGGCAAGAAGGAGGACCCGGGTAACTATAGACCGGTTAGCCTCACCTCCGTTCCTGGGAAAGTGATGGAACACCTTATCCTTGGTGCCATCTTAAGGCATATCAAGGATAAGAGGGTTATGAGGGGCAGTCAACATGGCTTCACCAAGGGGAAGTCGTGCTTGACCAATCTTGTAGCCTTTTATGAGGAAATAACACGGTGGATGGATGATGGTAGAGCGGTGGATGTGGTCTACCTTGACTTCAGCAAAACGTTTGACACGGTCTCCCACAGCATCCTTGCGGCTAAATTGAGGAAGTGTGGTCTGGATGATCGGGTAGTGAGGTGGACTGTGAACTGGCTGAAGGAGAGAAGCCAGAGAGTTGTAGTCTATGGGGCGGAGTCTAGTTGGAGGCCTGTATCTAGTGGAGTGCCTCAAGGGTCGGTACTGGGACCAGTATTATTTAATATATTCATCAACGATTTAGATGAGGGAATTGAGTGTACTATCAGCAAGTTTGCTGATGACACTAAGCTGGGAGGAGTGGCCGACACGCCAGAAGGCTGTGCTGCCATCCAGAGGGATCTGGACAGGCTGGAGAGCTGGGCGGGGAATAACTTGATGAAATATAACAAGGGAAAGTGTAGAGTCCTGCATCTGGGCAGGAACAACCCCAGGTTCCAGTATAGGCTGGGGAACGACCTGTTAGAGAGCAGTGTAGGGGAGAGGGACCTGGGGGTCCTGGTGGACGACAGGGTGACCATGAGCCGACACTGTGCCCTTGTGGCCAAGAAGGCCAATGGCATCCTGGGTTGTATTAGAAGGGGGGTGGTTAGTAGGTCGAGAGAGGTCCTCCTTCCCCTCTACTCTGCCCTGGTGAGACCTCATCTGGAATATTGTGTCCAGTTCTGGGCCCCTCAGTTTAAAAAGGACAGGGACCTGCTGGAGAGAGTCCAGCGCAGGGCAACTAAGATGATTAAGGGAGTGGAGCATCTCCCTTATGAGGAAAGACTGAGGGAGCTGGGTCTCTATAGTTTGGAGAAGAGGAGATTGAGGGGTGACCTTATTAGTGTATATAAATATATAAAGGGGGAGTGTCACGAGGATGGAGCCAGGCTCTTCTCAGTGGCAAACAATGAAAGGACAAGGGGAAATGGGTACAAATTGGAACACAAGAGGTTCCACTTAAACCTGAGAAGAAACTTCTTCTCGATGAGGGTGACGGAACACTGGAACAGGCTGCCCAGGGAGGTTGTGGAATCTCCTTCTTTGGAGACATTCAAAACCCGCCTGGACACGTTCCTGTGTAACCTTTTCTAGGTGTTCCTGCTCCGGCAGGGGGATTGGACTAGATGATCTTTTGAGGTCCCTTCCAATCTCTAACCTACTGTGATACTGTGATACTGTGATACTGAGCTCTCAGTGAACTCAGCCTTCACATACATCCCATGTGTGTAGATCTTAAAGCTCTGCTGTGTTAGGCATAGTTGAAAGTAGGTGGTAGATGTGTACCAAAACCAGAATTAATTTTTGTGATAGAACACATTGCTAATGCCTTTCTCAATCAGTTCTGAATTTGTTGTGCTGAATATTGGTGTTAACATTTTGAAGAGAGAAAATACTAATCATGACCCCATAAGGTTTCCATACTAGTTTTTGCAAAATTAAGAATTTTATCCCCAGTAGAAAAGCTTTTCTAAATAAGAATGAAACAAAAATAATGATATCAGAAAAGCACATATCCTACTTTTAGCCAGACTGTTTTGCAGTATGTGTGTAAAAGTAAATTTTTTCTATCTCTTTAGAATTAAAATGGTATAATTCACAATATCTAGAGGCTTTATTTTTCCCAGAGCATGCTCTCAAAATCTGAAAATCTTTAATCTGTTATATAGGTAAACCCTAGATTTTTATTTTCTATTTATTTCTAATACTTGTTTACATCTCTCACAAAATTTTTATTCTTTCAAGGGAAGTCTGGATCCACCTATGCATTCCCAAGGTGTTAAACCATTTTAGTTATTTATTTTTAAGTACTACTACTTTCAGCAAGTAATTGAGTTTCCTGGCTAGGAGTTAATGTCAATCAACTTGAAATGTGCATTACAAATTAGTAAATGAACACAAATACCTTCACTGTCGGATGATGTTTCTTGTCAGATTAAATTGTGTACCACCCCAGTTGCTCTGCATTCATGATAGTTGCATTTCTTACACTTTATTCCTTGATTATGTTATTAGCACTTTTCATGGTTCTTAATGTTTAAGGTATTGGTTCCCTGTTATCTGGGTTTCTTGGTAAAAAATGAATGAAATTTTGAATCAAGTTCATTTTCAGAAAGATAATGATGCAAGCACTGAACTGACTGCTGCTTCTGTTTTAAAACAGTACTTGACCACAAAACAGATTACTCTAATCCCACTGAGCATGTAAACATACACTGTGTTTTGCACTTCCCAAGCAGAAAGTACTTATCCAGACTGAAAGTCATGAGTACTTCACCCATTTAGGCTCCTACAGAAAATCTTCAAACTTTCAGTGTGCACCAAATTTTAATGAAGTTTTATGAAATTATTAATGAAATCACAATGACAGAAATAATAATGACCTGACTGTATAATACAATTTTTCAAATTAATTTAGTATCGATTTTGTCTTTTCCTATATACTTCTTTAACTTGCTTCTGAGTGCCATGTTTTATCTTTTCCTTTATCATTTATCTAGACAGATATTTCATGTAAGCAGTAAATCTGTAATCTCTTTTACTATATTTCTAATATATATTGAAAATGTGATGGATCAGATCCTCTTTGAGATGCTTGCTATCCAGTGAACTAATCAGGTGTTACATCCTTTAAGTAGATATGAATGCGTAGTCCATTCAACATGAATCATCTGCATTTTAAAGGGAACTTGTAACATTTTAAAGCAGCCCACTTATGTTGAGGTATAAAATTACCCTTTTCTGTATACCTGCTTGACCTCAGCATACCATGTGATTTCATTTTCTCTTACATAATTCTCCATGAATTTATACGAGATGTTGTAATGTTTAAATTTTCATGCCCCCTCTCCCTTTTGTATGCTGAAGTGGGAGTGAGAGAAAAGGTATGTGGGTGGTAATATAACAGCATTAACCAAGGTGGTCAGTAATTGTATCTGAAAACCATCAATATATGATGCACTGTCAAAGAGCCATAATAATTTTGAAATGTTTGATGGGTTTTTTTGTAGGTTTTTTGTAGTAGTTACTGCAGGTTTGCAATGCTGTATAAGTTAATTCATTGTATGAAAAGGTTTGTTTGGTTTCCTAATGGATGAAGTAGCCATTGGAAAATATATCTCAACAGCATAGGTTTAAATTGCATGAAACTGCTCTAATATTGTAAGGTAGTTTCAGCAGAAGAATCAGACTTATATTCTGTGTTATTCTTTTATATTTAGTATTACAAAAGTTTTCTCATAACTCAGATTTGAACTTTCCCTTTTTGCTGGTCTGATGCTTCCAACTATGTCCTCCTTCCTCTTTTAGCTCTTGACTGTTTCTTCTCTGCCCTTACTTTTTCCTGCTGGTCTTTGTGTGTTAATTTTTCTCTCATTTTCCTCTCTTATTCTAGCCCATGGCCTTTTTCACCCCCCACCAACCAGCATGGAACCCAGGCAGTTGGTCAGATGGAGGGAAAGGAATTGCAAGCTGCATGTTGTGGCAGCCCACAAACCGCTGCCAATCAGTCAGCATTGCCTGCCCTCACCTCACCCAAGCTGATTGATTAGGTGTACTTTCAGTCTAAACTACTAACTCATGGTGCAACTGGCCAATATTGACTAGCTGCAAGCCAGATATTACAGCTATTTAAAACTTCCTGTTTCATGACAGTGTTCTCAGGAGCTTTAGATGCTCTGCTAGCAGGAAATGTTTGCAGAAGATGCATTTTCAGTTCAGAAGGCTTTCATGTGCTTCATAAGATATTGCCTACAACCCATATGAAGTCTTTGAAAATTGTGTTTGCATCACAAGAAATCTGTATGTGAGTTAAATATTAACAGAGATCTCCTAGGCTTCTGCTTCTGTGCTTCCTTCTCCTGCCTTCCTACCAAAGGATTTTCTGATGATATTTTGGTAATTCACACATTGGTCACTTCAAGGAAATGTAAGAGTTTAGAGAAAACAACTGTCTGCAGAAAATTAAGATCCATTTTAACTCCTAGAATTCTTTTCACAGAATCTTAGCTCTAGATATAAGAGAACAACTTATTTTGGTCCACGTAAGGAAGCAAGGTAAATTTCTAATAAATGTAAGCCATGTTCTTGACTAATTTCTAACTTTTTCTTCATCCTTTTCTTCTCAATGAGCTGACTGTAGCATGTTGTTTGCAGACTATGCTCAATTTGTCAAATATTGCATTATCAAATGGTTATCTTTAAGTAAAAACCAATGCATCTCTTGTTGTTCCAGAAGAAATATATTTCAAAATATTTTAGCACTATTACAATAAAAGAATGGTCTGAACATGTTTTTAAATGCAGATAAATTTTGACCACATGCACTGAATACTAAGGCCTGCACAATACATTTCTTTCATCACACTTAGCTTTGAATAAATATAACAACTGTTCTGATAGAAGTGACTAAAGGGCTGAACCACCACTGCAAGTCACATCACAGTGATCTATATGCAGATCAGATACTAAACGGTAGTATCTGGCTTTAGAGCCCAGTCATGCATAGCTGGTGGGGTTTGGTTTTTTCTATATTTTTTCCTCCACTTCACTGTGATTCAAACACCAGAGGCAAATGTCCAGAATCTGCTTTTCAGAAGCTGACATTAACATATTACGTTTCTATCTTTGTATTAACCTGTTCTATACCCAGGCTATAAATATTGAGAGATTTGACATTTAAATAGGGGTCCATTTGGGTTTCCTTACAGAAGTCTATGTTTCATATGTTTTTACAGGGAATACCTGTCCCCCTATTTGGATTGCCTTTGCATCAATAAAGTTGAAAATGGATTTAAAAGCAATATATCATTATCTTGCCATTTTGGATCTACGTCAGCAGTGCACAGAACCACTGCAACATTACCTGTAGTGTACCCCTGCAGTACTCACCCACTAGCTGAGAGATAAGAGAATATTTGCTGCATTGTGGTTAGAAAGCCCATAATTGTTACAGTTATTTCATCCTGGATTATTTCCCTACAGACGGATGGTTAAGCACAACCACTGTCGCTGGCTTATTTCATTGGGAAGTATAAAAGAGCAAATGGGGGTAGGGAGGGTGAGAAATGAGGTGGCTGCATTTCTAAGAGAAGTTACTGTAGAAATACAGCCTCGGTCCCTCTGGGGTCCACACTGGGATTAGTACTATTTAGTAGCTTCATCAATGATACAAACAGTGCCATCAAGGCATGTGGTTATAGGACATGGGGTAATGACTTTAAACTGAAAGAGGGTAGATTTAGATTAGATATAGGGAAGAAGTTCTGTATTGTGGGTGGTAAGGTACTGAAACAGATTCCCTAGATATGTTGTGGATGCTTCATCCCTGGAAGTGTTTAAAAGCCAGGTTGGATGAGGCTTTGAGCAACCTGATCTAGTTGAAGATGCTCATTGTAAGGGAATTGGACCAGATGAGATTTAAAGGTCCCTTCCAACCCAAACTATTTTATGAAATAGTCAGATTCCTAGAATAATATAAACCTTGGCTAGACTCATTTCTAGGCAGTGAGTTGGTAAGATCCAGAATGATATATACCCATCTCCATATTTCTGATGTTACATTTCTATTATTGAAACATGTCAATGTTTGAGATCTTCCGAAGTGAAAATCCTAAGCACAGACAGTCATTTAATTTCTTGCGTCACATCAGATGAATGTAGTCTAACATGGAGTCAGTAGCTATCCCCAGATATAATGTGAGAACTGCCATATTATCATATTACCATTATCATCTGGGATTCTGGGATTCTATGATCATAGAGTGCACTGCCTCTAAGCACGCTGTAGTAACAGTATTAGCCTACTGCTACTGACTGAAGTCATTATTTGGATTTTTTAATAGCAGAATCCATTTAACTGGCACAGGAACCAGTGGAATCAGAAACTGAGATAAGCAAGCAGCCATCTAAGAACATGGTGAGCTCTTTGGAGCAAGGACTATGTTATTGTTGCTGCATTTACTTCCTGGTGAGACTGAATCTTGATCCAAAACTGCTGCCCTGAGAGTTTTCTCTGTGTTGGGAAGTGGCACCACAGAAACATTGCTGTTATGGAATTTAATAGCTGTGATCAAGATTAAAGATTGAAGCTGTGTGTTGAACCTTTTTGATTTTAAGGATCTGAGCTGCCAGTAGCAGACAGCACTGCCTGGAACCACTGTACCCAAAAATGGGCCTGGCCCCTTATGTTTGCAGAAGTGGGAAGTGGAAAATGTTTGAATTCTCCAATGGGGAAACATTGTGTTGGAAAATTTCTCATTTTATTGTCATCCACTTTAAGATTCCTTAGCACAATATAAAAGATGCTAGGAGCAAGAATTATTTCTGTGACATTTTTAACTGGATTTTACCAAGCCTATTATTTGCAGAGAATGTACGCGGATCTGAGTTTGGATTTTAAATTCACCTTTCCCTTAAATCAAAGTCTTATGTCTTGATTAAGGCCTGTCACTCTTGAAAAGTTAGAACTTGTTTTGGGCTCAAAAGCCATTTCTAATATTTAGAATTACAAAAGTGGTAATAACTTGATAGAGTAGCAAATAGTCTTATTAAGCTCTTCCTTGTCTTAGCAGACTAGACTCCAGTTGATCTAATGTTAGGCCAGCTGTTAATAATTTTACAAACAGAGTATGAAATAGAAGCTTGATACCTGACTAAAAGGGAGCTACAACATTGCGCAAGAGCATTTAAATGTACTAACCTTAGTGAGCAGATATTAATGCTATTTCAAGGAGTGTCAGTGAAGAGTCTTTGATATTGTGATTGGGATACATGCTATTACATCCATAGTGACAGCTCCAATTGATGGGATTAAAAAGGTAAAATTAAAAAGGGACTTATTTCATGCCCTCAAGTGCATATAAGAACAGTTACATCTCTGCTACGTGTCTTGCCTTGACAGTGGATTCTTTTCTCATGGTTTTTCATACCCTGCACAATTCTTAAATTTTCTGTGTCATTTCACTTAGTCTTCTTTCCTATATTCTCTCCTTTCCTGCATGTCTTTTTATTCTCCTTACCCTCCCTTCCAAAACCTCAGTTCTTTCTAAATGCCCCTGGGGTTTTTGTCACTTTTATGTATTTTACAGTCTAGAATGATTTTTTTTTTTTTAATCCTTTTCTTTCTTTCTGCAGTGGCTTTTCTAATTCTTGCCTTGTATTTTAGGGTGATCACCTATGAGACAATAGTGAGAGATGGTGACAAAAATCCTATCCCTAACCCTAACCCTCCCCCTCAAAAAAAAAAAAAACCACAACAAAAAAACAACAATGTTCATTCCTTCCTATGTATAATTTTTGAGGTGGTACGTGTTGTAGCTAATCTGGATGTTTTTTAGCATCTTAATATCAGATTTTTTTGAATAAGATTAAAATATGACATTAAGGATAAGAAATACCTGTTTACAGGAAACAAAAATAGCTAGAAGACAGTGTTATATGACATTCATCAGTCTAAGATCTTGAGCTGCTGTGTAAATGACACTTTCATTTCTACCATTTAACAAATATGTAGACTAAGGTGCAGTAAGGTTAAGTTTTCCAAAGATGCTCAGCAGACTAATGGTATAGTCCAAACTTTTGAATTCAAATGTCCTGAGAAACTGTGCTAGCAATCCCTCCCCTGCACAGAGAAATTACATTGGTAAGTGAAAACAGTTAGGATTTACAAGGGTGATAACTACAACTAGACTACATTTTTCAGTGAAGGTCATTTAAACTTTGCAGAGACATCTTGATTTTGGGTGCCTAAACAGAAGAACAAACCATGTATTCGTGCAGTCAGGATGTGCATTGATGGGAATTAACTGGGAAAGGCTGAGGTACTGAGGTGAGGCTTTGGAAATCCCAAACAGAATACCCTCTGACTCAGAGAGTATATACTTTTATTTGTTCCACATAAGCAGCAGATCAAGTTGTTAGTTAAGATTCATACCAGACCAAGGACTCAGACAGTGGGTTTGGTATGGGGTGTACCACTTCAGCTCCTGGCCTTGTCTGCCACTTGTTTAAAGAATTCTGTGAAGCTTCTTTGGCAAGTCAGAAACTCCAGCAGAAGACATTAGGGCATGTTGAACTTTGTGATCTCGGATTGGATTCAGGTACTAGTAGGTACCAAAGTACTGAAAAGGTAATTTTTGAGCTGATGATTGCAAAACTTGTGATTGGAGAGTTGCTTAAAAGACTTAAGAGACTGAAATTCTTCTTACAAAAGAAATTATTTCTCTTCCAGTGCCTTTCAATCATAGCTGAAATCACTACAGACTTCTTTAGAAGGAAATGTTAGGGAGTGTATCTGTATGAATATTTTTTATGAGGGATCTGAACCTCTGTTGCTGACTGCCTCGTTCACACCATGTGGCTTGAATTTTCAGTCTCTGGTCATGTATCAGTCTGTTACAGCTTTGGAAAATGACTGAGGGATGCTTCCTAGGTGATGGACCTTACAGGTAGTTGTCTGTTTGACTTATTTTCTGTGGGCTGATTATTTTAATGGTGCTTTTCTTAGATTTAATTTCATTGCAGTTTAAATTTTCTGGGCTGCTTAGTGAATTCCTGAAGAGACATACTTATTATTTTACATCTAAATAGATTGTATATTCCTTATTATTTATATTTGTAATTAAATATGTAAATATGCATAATTTTTCTATTTCTGTACTGTCACAGTGTAAAAATTATGAGAAACTTGAAAATCAGTGCATGACTTCATAGCCTGTAATATGTAATTACCTTTGCAGCTCAGTGTTCAGGTGAAATTTTTGTAAAACTTGCAGATTGGCACTGTCTCAAGCAGTAACATTAATGAT